TTTCTAGACTCACAGCTTCTCTTGGAGCTTGCTTCATCGGCTATGTTAACATAAAGAAACTTGCTTGATTATTTAAAAGGTCTTGAATTGTTTTGTTACTTTTTGCAACTAAAAAATTGAAATATAATTACATTTATTCCCTCCTATTCTCCTTTCTCCAAGCCTTCCCATAAATCCTGTTTCTTTCTTAAACTCATGACCTTCTTTTCCTTAATTACTTTGTAACACACATATATACACATATAAATACAACCTGCTGAGTCAGCTGTTTGTTGCTTCTATGTATATGATTTTGGAGGTTATCACTTGCTATTATTCTCTCTTTTCAGCAGTTGTTAGTCATTTTTCAAGGGTGGGGCCCATGAGATTTTTCCATTCCTTTTTAGCATGTCCATTGGCATGCTTTATTTAGAACGTAGTATTGTTGAGGAGTAGTGGGTCAGTATCCCTGTCATTTCTCAGAAGACTCCTTGGTCCTCTGGCTTTAGAAATAGGTCCATTCCCATGTTTGGTGCTCCCTGAACCCTATGCATGGTGGTTGTGTTATAAATGTATCAATTGGAACTGTGCACCATAGAATCAGTTCTCTGCATTTGCTTAGTTGTGTCTTTCTGTAATGGTCTCTGCTACCAAGAGAAATGTCTTTAATGAGAGGTAAGAGCAAACTTTACCTATGGGCATAAGTATAAATATTTAGAATGTAGTTAGAATTATACTGGACTAGTAAAATGGCAATAGTATGTTCTCCTCTAAGTTCCACAATCTTACTAGTCAATGTAGTTAGCAATATTTCCATTACCAGACATGATTTCCTTCCTGTTGAGCAAACATTAAGTTAAAATTGATATTTGAGAGTTATCAAAAAGATATAAGTGTCATTACTGAGCTTTTAAGGATATCATCTACACTTGATAGTATGTGTTTCATGGCCCCATGAATATGTCTTCGTGCCCTTAGGATGTTTCAACCTAAAAGTATTGTATTAAGTAGAAAAAAAATTAAAAGAGAAAAATACTTCAAATGACCTCTGCTGCTAGGAAACAGCTAAAAGCAACATTGCCAACACTTTGACAAGCTTTTTTTGGATTAAGAGAGTCAGTATACACTCCCATTACATTGGAAAATCATCAAGATCGGCGACGTTTGTGTCTGCATCTTTTCAGTTTATGAATTCAAATGATTTTCTAGTTCTGATGATATTGATTTGGAATGAAATGTTTTACACCAGCTTTGGAGTAGGTGTTCAGGTATGTTCCAAAGATGGATATGCTTTTCAGCCTCGAGGCAAACTGATGATGAAAAGCAAGGTAGTTTTCCACATCCTTACCTGAAATAAAACACAGGATGAGCTGCTTTGTTTTTAAAAAGTTTTACACTGTTTTTGCTTTCTCAAGAGGAAGTTAATTTAGCATCTTTAAAAAAGGTTAGATATTTTCTGTGGAACTTTTTTGGTTGTTTGGGGTGTCAGACATAGTACCTTTTCCTATCTAGGAGACAGGGTGCCTAACTACTCAATAGTGCCCAGAGAGTCTCCTGTGGAAATATGAGAGCCAGAAGACAAACTGGATTCTGGTGTACAGGGAGATGTCCTGGGCAGAGTCTTCTCTGCTCTGGATACTCCAGCATGACTGACTGACTGCTCACATGTCCATTCCCAGGCCATGTCTCAGAGCCCTGCCCTCCATTCAGTTTGTGTGTTCTGCCCCATTTCTGGTGTCCTCAGCTCTTCTTTGTGCCCTTTGCTCTATTGTCTGAGCAGCATCCTTACTTTGGTATATATACTTCCCAGAGATAATGAAGTTGTTCATTTATTTATTTTGTTGGATTGTTGACATTTCCTTTTTTTTTTGTATTCCTGATTTCCTTATCCACTGCTATTCCTCCTCCTCCTCCTCCTCTCCCTCCTCCTCTTCTCTCTCTCAATCCTGTAACTTTATGATAAGCCATTATCTTTCTTTTCAGTTTTGCTGGAATCAAATTCTATTTCTAGATTAAAGATTAATCTTTTATAGTGAAACCATAATTAAGAATGTAGAAGAAGCATTGTACAACATCTCAGTTATACCAAAGGACAGCATAGTTATTCTGATGGCCTCCCAAGCATGTCTACTTCATACGTGAAATCTACATGTTTAGCCTGGGCCAGCTTTTGTACTTAACTGGATATGGCACCTCCCATCTGGAGCAATTTAGATGTCTAGCTCTGTTCTGTTTGACATCTTTGTTTGACTTTTGCTTGTTGCTAATATTGTATAATTATCTAATTTCCATAATTTGCAATCACCTCTATTTTTATTCCTTGTTATGTCCTGTGAGTTAATAGATTTCGTATCTATGATTTTTGCTGATCTGAGAGTTTTAGATTTTTATTCTCTATATAATAGAATTTAAGTAATGACCTTTGTGACTCAATTCTGGGGCTACTGATAGGGCCATGCATCATTTCTACCAGATTCAAGAAATTCTTAGTTGACTGCCTCTACACTTAGACTTCTATGTAAAAATTGGGTAGAATTAATAATTCTGTGTGCTAAATCTTTGACTGATTGACTCAATGAAGGACAGAATTATCCTATGTATAATTGATTTGTTTTTCATATAAAATTTCTACATTTACACTTGAGATTTATTGAGACATAAATGTGAGAGGGTAAGAGGCCTTCTGTAATAAATATATCTGTGGAAGTATATTTCACAAACAAAAGGCATGTGCATAAATTCTTATTAAAATTTTGGGAACTCTCTAAATAAATACCAGGATGCAGGTTTAAAATGTGAAAAATAAAATAATTATGTTGTTCACAAACTCTGCAGAAATGAATAATCCCCCAGTCACAACAAAAGTGAACATTCCTCAAATAATTTGTATACAGTTGGTTGAGAAGAAAGCTCTGGAAGTATTATGAGATGTTTCACACATACATCTAAGATCACTTCAGCAGGAAGATGCCCCACATCTTGTACTATTAGGTGCTAATCAAGAATAAAGAACTTAATTAAGAATTAGAATTAAGTAATTAAGGAGCACTTGCCCTATTTGGAATTAAGTGTTCTGACCTGGAAATGATGGTCCAAGGATCATAACTTCTTCCTTGCTCCACCCAAAAGAAAACATATTAAGAGGCAGTGTCTTCTCCATGGGTAGGTGTTATTAGTGAGCAGTACTAATGACTGTGACAGTTTGTCCCTGTGGTTAGCAGTCATTTGTTCTTCTCTGTTTCACTCAGGTAAAACACTCTTCTCTCTTTACCTTCACAAAAGAGACCTAAGCACTGCCTCACAGACAGTGCTGGATTTGTCTATCCTATAGCAGGAGTTATACAAAAACTTCTGCAGTGGATACAGAAACAACTCCTCATGACCCACAGAAAACTGGTCAACTTTGTTCTCAATAACTTATGTCAGTGTGAAATCAAGCTTGGAAAATCTCATGAAAACTTTGTTTTCTTTTTTTAAATGTGTATTGGGCTGGGTTGTAGCAACTTTAAAGTCACACAGGAAAAATGTCATTATAGACTTCTATTCTGACATGAATCTTTTATAAGGAAGGTGCCTGAACTCAAGGCACCCATGATTTCAGGGATGGGGAGTCTTGTATACTTCTCTTTGGCTCCATTTGAAGTGAATGTCAAGTAATAAACCTTTGGTGGGGGTGGACAGGGTTCTCAGTCTGTAGATTTTTCAATGATAGTTGATGCTTGGTATTGCTTTTGATTCTGACCTGTCACAATCCCTTAATTCAGACTTATTTCCTTTAACAGTACATTTCTCTCAAATACATCACTAGATTCCTGTCTTTGATTTTGGTCAGCTTCATATACAACATTATATATATATATATATCGTATTTCTGAAGTGTCTTTGTTGCTTCGTCACTTCAATATCTCTGTGATCGTTTTTCTCCTTTCATTCTTTTCTCAGGATTATAGTGTTGATATTCTAGGCCTATCAGGTATCTCTTTGTGTCTCTTTTTCAATGCTTTTGTTTAGTTAGAGGACTTTGTTTTAGCTATCACTGCACATGTGACAGGCAAAATAATGTTCCTTAATAAGCTCACATCCTAATCTAGAGAGCTAGAAATATGTCATATTCTGTGCTCAAGAGAAGTTACAGCTTTGCAGATGAAATATGCTTGCCAGTCAGCTGATCTTCAAATAGCTTATCCTGAATGATGCAGGTGGGCCCTAATGTAATCACAGGGGTCCTTCAAAGCAGAAACAGGAAATAGGAGAATCAGTGTCAGAATGGAAGAAAAATTAGACAGCTGTGTCTGGCTTTGGAAAGGGACCATGAATCAAAATATGTAGTAGAACTTTACCAGCCAAGACTGTACATGTGCCTAGAAACTTGACAAGGTGACAATGTGGATTATCCTCTAAAGCATCTACATTTTAATTCACTCCCTAAAGCATATCATTCAGACCAGAGAGACCAATTTAATGATTTCAACCATGAGACTAAGTTTTCATTAACCAAGCTTGTAGGTTTTTTTGTCCTATGGAAACAATAGGAAGCATCTTCAATCTGTTCAGAGCGTTTAGCACTAGAGGTACTTGGCATCGTCCTAGTTTAATATTAGCTGCATGCCGAAATTCTAATCAGCTTTGTTTAACTACATTTCTCAATTATGGATTGTGTTGTGGAGATATAAGAGGAGTCATTTATGGCAACAGTAATGAGCCCTGTAATTTGTGGACTTTCTAGTTCCTTTTTATTCCAGCTTGCAAACCAACAGGGTCTTTCTTCAGCTCATCTCTTCTTTACTACTTTGTCAGATAAAGCTAGTTATAGCCAAAGCATGCTATTCATTTTTTCCAACTTATTTTTCTCAATCTCTAAGTTTGGAACACATAAGGAATTCCTTCCAATGTATTGCATACAACAATTTAACCACTCCGGGACAGCCAGGGCTGTTTCACATAAAAATCCTGTCTCAACAAACAAACAAACAAACAAACAAACATGAAACAAACAAACAAACAAATACAATTGAACATATTCTGTCCTTAGAAGTGTTACAGGTGTGGCTGCCATGTCACATATGCGTCCTTAGATGGCAGATAGGAAGGAGGCTATGTCTGTGATTAGTTTTCTGGCCTCCGAATATCTAATTGATTAGTAGCCTAAAATTCTCTGAAAAATGTGTGCCTAGGATGACTACGAGCCCTGCCTGGCAGGCACCCACGGCTCTAGTCCTAACAGCTCCATCCCTGGCCACTTCCAGAACTAGGAGCAAGCTGGAGATGAGAAGAGCTGGGTAGGAGTAAGCCCAAAACATACAAGTGACCTCCACTAAAAGTGAGTCCCCAATGACCACCAGACCAGTTTCATAGGCCTTGGACAGAGAGTTAGCCTGAGATAACCACCAGTCTGGTGCCACGAAGATCTGGGAGTGGGGTTCCGGGTGAGGGTAGGACAGACCACTCCTGAGATGACCCCAGACACTCAGAAAACCCTGGTACTACTAAAGAGAAGCAAGTAAGTGGTGGGGAAATGGAAGAGAGAGAGAGAGAGAGAGAGAGAGAGAGAGAGAGAGAGAGAGAGAGAGAGAGAATGAGGAGAGGCAGAACTAGAGGCTTGAGGGTAGTGAACAGCCTGATGTGAGTAGCTGCTGATGCTACCTCAGACCATAATGGAGTCCTGGCCTCTGCTGCCATTGAGGGGCCACATATGAGTCTGCAGCAGCAGGAGTCTGTTACCACCAAAGGCCAGGGTATGGTCCCTGGTCTTGGATAAGTTGATGTTTGAAGGCTGTGCAGAGCTGGACCCACCTGGGCATCATGGGAGACCTGGCCCCAGGAGTATGAGAGCAGGAGGGTTGATCTCATTTCTAACCAGCTGCAGGACTCAGAAGAGTGAGCCCACATTGCAGGAGTTGTGGGTGAGCCAGTGCCTAAGAATATGAGCATGTGGGAAACCTGTTCCAATCAGTTGTCTCCTGTGCAGTGTCATGGATGAGAGAGAGATAACCTCCTCCTTCTTCAGCTCTCACCACCTTCGGCAGGAGGGGATACCTGGCTCTGGGGTCATGAGCACAGGAGAACTGGCCCTTGTGACTGAGCCCAAACCTGAGAGAGCTTAGAAGTAAGTTGCTTGTCCAGGTTCTAACTCTACTCTAATCCCTGGAAAGAAATAGCCTCAGAGACACCTCGATTTTAGCCTATTGAGATTTTGTTTATATTTTATTTTATTTTATTTATTTTTAGGCATAATTTTACTATATACTTCAGGTTGGCCTTGTATTCTTGATCCTTTAATCTCACTGTGCAGACTACATGAAGACTTCTGTTTGGATACCTACTGACATACTCAATCATGCCAAAATAAGCTAGTAGTCTAGAGTTTGATTTCTGATACATGAAGCCAAAGGACAGTAAATTTATGCTGCCTTAAGATGCATAATATGTGATAGTTTGTTACAAAGGCAACACAAAACTTATAGCATTACATAGAAGCAGACAAAAGCATAATGTTTCATCCCGTTTTTGTGATTGTGGGTGAAATAGAACATACTAAACTACATATAATCTTTTTTATAAGTGAAACATAACACAAAAAAGCTACCTATAAAGACACATTAAAATAGTAATAAACTATGACGTACCAGATTTATCATGAGAATATAATAATTAATGAAGTATTATTCTTGTGTAAGAATAATGTACCCAAGATGATATCTTAGAAATAAATAAAAAATTGTGCATACTACAGAGAAGAAAGGAGATAACTGAGGAGAGTATAGAAATAATTCAAGGAATAGTGCATGTTATTGACTATTTGTCAAAATAACAGTGTAAAAATCATATATGTTAATCCATATGAAGATGAGAATTGCTCTTCCCATGACTGTGAAGAATTGAGTTGGAATACTGATGAGGATTACATTGAATCTATAGATTACTTTTGGTGAGATGGCCATTTTTACTATGTTAAGCCTACTGATCCATTAGCATGGGAGATCTTTCTATATTCTGAAGTCTTCTTTGATTTCTTTCTTCGGGGATTTGAAGTTCTTCTCATATAGATCTTTCACTTGCTTGGTTAGAGTTACACCAAGATATTTTATATTATTTGTGATTATTATGAAGGTTGTTGTTTCCATAATTTCTTTCTCAGCCTCTTTATCCTTTGTATAAAGGAAGGCAACTGATTTGTTCGAGTTATGTTTATATCCAGCTTCTTTGCTGAAGTTGTTTATCAGCTGTAGGAGTTCTCTGGTAGAATTTTTGGGGTTGATTGTATATACTATCATATCATCCACAAATAATGATACCTTGACTTCTTCCTTTCCAATTTGTATTCCTTTGACCTCTTTTTGTTATCTAATTGCTCTGGCTAGAATTTCGATTAATGTATCGAATAAGTAGAAATAGAGGGGTCAGCCTGATTTTAGTGGAATTGTTTCAAATTTCTTTCCACTTAATTTAATATTGGCTGTTGTTTTGCTGTACATTGCTTTTGTTGTGTGTAGGTATGGGCCTTGAATTCCTGATCTAAAACTTTTAGCATGAAGGAATGTTTTTTTTTCCCCAAAGGCTTTTCAGTATCTAATGAGATGATCATGTGGGGTTTTTCTTTATTTATATAGTGAATTATGTTGAGGTATTTCGATATATTGAACCATCACTGCATTCCTGGAATGAAGTCTACCTCATAGTGGTTTTGATGCATTCTTGGATTAGGTTTGCGAGAATTTTATTGAGTATTTTTGCATCTATATTCATAAGAGAAAGTGGTCTGAAATTCTCTTTCTCTATTGGGTCTTTTTTGCTTTAAGTATCAGAGCAACTGTAGCTTCATAGAATGAATTTGGTAGTGTTCTTTCTGTTTCTACTTTGTGGAATATTTGAGGAGTATTGGGATTAGCTCTTTTTTGAAAGTTTGGTAGGATTTTGCATGAAAACCATCTGGCCCTGAATTTTTTTTTTTTTTTTTTTTTGGTTGGGAGAATTTTAAGGACTGCTTCTATTTTCTTAGGGGTAATGGGACTGTTTAGATAGTCTAACTGATCTTGATTTAACTTTGTTAAGTGGTATATGTCTAGAAAACCATCCATTTCATCTAGATTTCCCATTTTTGTTTATTAGGCTTTTGTAGTCAGATCTGATGATTTTTTTCAATTTCCCCAGTATCTGTTGTTATGTTTCCTTTTTAGTTTCTTATTTTGTTCATTTGGATACTGTCTCTGTGCCCTCTAGTTAGTCTGGCTATGGGTTTATCTACCTTGTTGTTTTGCTCAAAGAACCAGCTCTTGGTTTTATTGATTATTTGTATCTTTCCTTCTATTTGGTTGATTTCAGCCCTGAGTTTGGTTATTTCCTGCAGTCTACTCCTCTTGGGTGTGTTTGCTTCTTTTTGTTCAGAGCTTTCAAGATGTGCTGTTAAGTTGCTAGTGTAGGATCTCTCCAATTTCTTTACCAGGGCACTTAGTGCTATGAATTTTCCTCTTAGCATTGCTTTTATTGTGTCCTATATGTCTGGGTATTCTGTGCCTTCATTTTCATTAAATTCTAGAAAGCCCGTAATTTCTCTTTTATTTCTTCCCTGACCAAGTAATTATTGAATAGAGTGTTACTTCTGGGGGAATCACTGTCTGGGTCCTGAAGCTGTACTACAGAGCAATAGTGATAACAACTTCATGACAGAGGTACAGAGACAGACAGGTCAATCAATGCAATAGAATTGGAGATCCAGAAATAAACCCACACACCTACAGAAACTTGTTTTATGACAATGAAGCCAAAACCATACAGTTGTAAAAACAAAGCATCTTCAATAAATGGTACTGTTCTAACTGGCTGTCTGTAGATAGAAGAATGCAAATTGATCCATATTTTTTTATCACCTTGTACAAAGCTCAAGTCCAAATGGATCAAGGACCTCCAAATATATAGCAAAGGATTGCTTTGTCTGCCCTCATTGGGAAAAGATGTGCTTCATCCTGTAGAAACTTGATGCCCTAATGAAGGAGGATGAAGTGGTGTGAGGTGGGAGTGGGTGGCTGGGTGGGAAACCACCCTCTCCGAAGCAAAGATGGGGGGGGGATAGGGTGGAGAACTCATGGAGGGGGAGCAGGAAGGGTGACAACATTTGGAATATAAATAAATAAAATAATTAATAAAAAATTTTACGTGTGATTGTGGATGTCCAGGTGCTATGGGTGCCTGTGAAGGTCAGAGTGTAAAGTCACTTTTGGGTCCTTACCTTAAGCCTTGTTTGAGAAAGGGCCTTTTGTTGTTTATTACTATATACTTTAGCCTATGTAGCCCATGAGCTCCTGAAAACTCTTCTGTGTCTTCTGCTCATCATAGAGCAGCAGCCCAGACCTGATCTGCTACATGGGATTCCCGATGTATGCTACTAGGAACTTTGTGTGTTGTGAGGATTGAATTGAGGTGGTTTTGTTGACAAAAAGTGCTTGACATACAGGGTTGAAGATCTGTGTTTGGATCCATAGCATCTATGTAAAAGCCATATTAATGAATGGCTGTAATCTTAGAACTAGGAAGATGGAATCAGGCCATTTACTGGAAGTGGCCATCAAGCCTAGTCAAACAAATGATTCCCAGGCTCGATGAGAGACCCTGCTCCAAGGTGTACAGCAAGAGATAAAATCACCAGGTACAACCTCTAACCTATACATATGCATATGCACCTATACACATACCATTTACACACACACACACAAACACAAACACACACACGCATACACGCACACATGAATGTGTACATGAACACATATGCACACTAGAGAGAAATAGAGAGAGACAGAGAGCTACATAGAGAGAGAAACAGACAGACACAGAAACAGAGAAAGATACAGACAAACAGACATGAGACAGAGAGAAGGGGAGAGCATCAAATGACAGGAATAGTAAGATATGAAGCAATAAGAAAGAAATGAATGGATGAGTGTATGGATCAAGGGAGGAGTTTTAGAGAGAGAAATTAGAGGAAAGAGGGAAAAAGAATACACACAGAGAGAGTAAAAAAGGGCAGTGTGTATAAATGCTCATTGAGGGGTAGAAAACTATTAAACTTTTAAACTATTAAAAAAGCAACTGCTAGAAGCAGAAAATAAAAATGTCAATTGGGTTAAACTCATAAACACTAAATTCTATCTATCTATCT